TTTTTTGTGAGTCAGAATTTTGTTCTACATTTTTCTCCAGCTCTGTCCGGGACCTTCTGTTGTGATCCCGGTCAGAGCAGTGAGTGATGGTAGCCGGGCCCCATCTAGTTGTGCTGGACTCAGTCTGGTGGAGGCCGTCCCTTGTGTCTTTAGTCTTCTTCATTCTCCTTTGCTCCAGCCAGGATTTCCCTGGTTATCTTCATATTTAAACCTTCTTTTAGGGTTACCCTAAAAATTACACCAGGGTCCTTAACGTATTATAGTCTAACATAAATTACTACTTTTACATCTTTCCAGACAAACCAAGGACTATAGGACACCTTAACTCTAACTGCTCCTGATTCACATGCTCTCATGTTATGTGTTTATTTAATATTGACCTAACATTATTGTTGCCTTATACTGCTGTTCTTCATTCTTTCACGCATCTCCAAACTTCCATCTGGGATCACTTGCCTACCGTCTGAAGAACACCCCTCAATAGTTTTATTAGTGCAGTTGCCAATTACTGTTTTGTGGAAATGTCTTTATTTCAGCTTCCTTCTTGAAGGATATTTCCATTAGACATGGAATTCTAAGTTGCAATTATTTTTGTTCAGTCCTACAACACCCACCAGGAGACTCCTTAGGCTCAACTACACTCCAGGCATCAGACTATGGGGAGGACCTAGAACAGGAGCTACAGCTTGCCACTGGGTGAACTTTCCTCTTCTGTAAACACCTGAAGCAGTTCAGGCGACAGGAGACAAGAGCCACACCAGGTGAGCACTGGCTGATGTCTTATGCCCCAAAGGAGTCAATATCGCTCTCCCTTTTTTTTATGGTTTATTTTATTTGTTGCTGTTGCTGTTGAGAATATACACTGCAAAACATACACCGGTTCAAGAGCTTCTACATGTACAATTCAGGGATATCGATTACATTCTTCGAGTTAAACAACCATTCTCATCCTCCTTTGCTGAGCTGTTCCGCCCCCGTTAACATAAACTCGCTGCCACTACAGGTTCCTATCTAATCTTTCAAGCTGCTGTTGTCACTTTGATCCTGTATAGACAGATCTGAAATGAGTACAATGTTCAGGGAGACATTCTTTACTAGTTAAGCTAAGCTATTGTTCGGTTTTAAGAGGACTTCGGGGGGTATTTTTGGTTTAAGGTTTAAAGATTATCTTAGGGCAAAGTTTTGCGGGGAGGAGCCAATATTTCTTGTATCAACTCCATAGACATAGTTTTCAGGGTTCCTGGGAGGGACGTGCCCAGCTACAGGACTCACCGTATTCAAAAACCCAAGTTACAGCATTTCATCAGGTATTTACAGTTCATACATGGAACTCCCGCCCAGTTGTAGTTTGTCTGTGAGGGACCCTTTTTATCCCCAGTAAAGTTGCCTAGTAACATAGTTGACATTCTTTTGGCTAGTTGGACAGTTAATGAAACAAAGGTCACATTCTCACGCAGAAGGAAAAATGGTTCTGTCTTGACCATATGCTCTTTAGAAATATCGGTTGTCTTCCGTTTTTCATTGTTTCTATTACTATATCAGCTGTCACTCTCTAGGCTCCATATTCTAGCCCCCAAATTCCTGGATTTTGGCCCCAGAACACTTCACTGCCTTGCTAGCACTCACTGTCTCGTTCTTTCTCTCTCTTTTTAGTATCTTGTCCAGCTTTTCTAGTTGCCTTCGGCAGGAGGGTAGATCCAAATGATCTAGTTTGTCATTACTGGAAGTAGAGCTTAAATTCCATCTTTTCTTCTACTTTTTTTTGTTAGATCAAGAGAACATATAACTCAGAATTTGAACCTACTCATACTAAGAGAAATGAGTTTACAAAATTAAAAAGACAACCTATGTGAGAAAGTCATAAAACATGTCCATCAAAAAACCTTACCTTGGCAGTGGGCCCGATGAGGGAGTCATTCCATAGTCTTCATATCTCTGGAAGAAAAGAAGATTAATATTTAATCCTTATTATAAAGTGACAACAGCAAAATTACAAATTTAGGTTTGCAGGATCAACTTTCAAGAGAATTATTTTCTCATAAAAAATGAGCAAGCTAGTGGGGTTATTCTGTCATCAGGTAATATTAGACATTTCATTTGGGGCACTGGGCTACCAGGATTTAGAAAAAAACAAAAACAAAACACAACCAATCTCTAGACCTTTTTATCTTTTGTATACTGTAACTAAAAATATGAATAATAGACAGGCTTTCTGTGCCTGCTCTTGCCTATAGCCTCACTTTCTATAAACCCAGGTCTCTGCTAAAAGGGGAGGCCTAGGTGGCCACATTTAGTACAAGTGATGCTGCCACCAGACCCACAATGGCCACCAGACCCAGTGAGTATTCAGCAGCAATTCAAATCAGTTCAAGACACTGAGCTATGCAAGTGTTGTACCATGTTGTAGAATGCTGTAGAAAGAGAAAGGACACAAAGAGAATCTGAAATCAGAGAGACCCTTAGAGATGATGCGAGCACCTTCAGCTTCTGACTTTTCTGGCTCTAAAGAGGCCCAGCTCTACTTCCTACCCTGAGTTCCATGAGGCATCCCCATATCCTTCAGTCAACTCTTCTTACTTGAGCTAACCTGAGTGGGTTTCTGATCCTCACAATAAGTGCTCTGTGGGTGTAAAACAATATGGTGTATGACTTAAAGAAATACACAGCTAAGACAGCTGTTGCATTCCTCAAGAAATGAATGTATTCTAACCCTAATGTACGTGGGATTCTTATTTCAGCATTTCTTGCCAATAACTCTGAATCGTTATCTTGGAATCAGGTATGTCAACAGAATGCTAACTCTGGGTGGAGACCATCCAGCTCCAGTTAGATTGGACCAACTGGTCGTTCAGAATGACGTGCTCCAAGTTAAGTACTAAGTCATCCTTGTTTCTGGGCCTGCTCTAATTATCAGATCTTCGTTTTTTAAGCTGCCATTGACTGAATCAGTATTTTGTACTAATTACCGTATGGCTGCTAACCAAGAGGTCGGCAAGTCGAATCTACCAGCTGCTCCTTGGAAACCCTACGGGGCAGCTCTACTCTGTCCTGTGGGGTTGCTGAGTTGGAATCGACTCGACGGCAATGGGTTTGGGTTTTTTGGGGTTTACTGTATGTGGATTAACTCAAACCCACCATAATACTAAAATGTAGGTACTGTTATTTTTACACAAATAACACATGCCTTCTATGTTTGTTTGCCAACCTCTCCCTCCCATCAAATGTAAAAAAAAAAAAAAATTGGCAGAGCAGTGCTTGTTAAAATAAGCACAGGAGCAGTTGGCAAACAAACAGCAGGCGTGCGTTATTTGCGTAAAAATACAGTACTACTACCTCTGTTTTGTAGCTGAAACTAACTCACAAAGAAGTCGAGTAATTTCCTAATAAGTCTGTATCCACAGACCACGCACTCACTACTACTCAGCGCCATCCTGGTCCCCAACACCAGCTTTCCCCTGTGAACAGATTCCTGCTTTGTGGGGGGAAAACAGATGCTTTGGAGTCAGACAGACTGGGCAACCTACTTCCCTGATTTCCTTATGCAAGAAGGAAACAATGATCTCTACCTCACAGAGTTCTGAAGGGATTATCAGATATGAAACTGGAGTCCAGTTACTTCACCTCCTGACCTGCTCTGCTTCCATCCCCGTGGCAGAGGGAGACAGATTAGGACCATATAGAGTTCCTTCACTGAAGCAAAATAAACTGACAAGGATTACAGAAGAAGGGAGGTGTAGAAGGAAAGGTACTTTGATTCTTTTTCCAAATAATAAAAGGAAATTTGAGACTGGATAAAGATTCTTCATGATGGCCTTTGTGCTTTCAGCAAGTTTGGGTTATGTAAACATATTCATATGCAAAACAAAACAAAACAAAAAAATCAAGGCTTAAGAGTTTACTTCTCAGGCTCAGTGGTTAAGAGCTCGGATGCTAACCAAGAGGTCAGCAGTTCGAATCCCTATGGGGCAGTTCTACTTTGTCTTGGAGGGTGGTTATGAGCCAGAAATGACTCAACGGCAACAGGTTCTGGTTAGTAAGTAATAGAGATCCATGAGTGACGGTGGCAGTTGGGTGCTTGGCTACTAACCAAAAGGTTGGCCGTTCACATTGACCCAAAGGCAACTTGCAAGAAAGTCCTGGCAATCTATTTCCAAAAGATCACAGCCATTGAAAACCCTGTGGAGCACAGTTCTACTCTGACACACACGGGGTCACCATGAGTCTGAATCAACTTGATGCCAATGGGTTTTTTTTTTTTTTTTGAGTAAGTGATAAACTGAAAGAAAAACGGTACAAAATAGCTGTCTACTCTTTTTTGTATTATTCTAGTGCTAAGCACATCAATTCTCCTGTAGTCAGAACAAAGACGTTATTTTTCTAGAGATTAAATGCCCCCACGAAAAAGGTTAAAAAAAAAAAAAAAAAGAATTGAGGAAGAAGGACAGGCACTTACTTTAAATTGGTATACACCTGTACAAAAGTTTGGGGACAAAATTGAATTATAAGAATTGAATCGGCTATATCAATAAAAATCCCTTCTTCATGCACCCCTCTTTCTATTCAGTATAAAACACGGGCAGAGCAGGAAAGGCAAATCAAATGGTTGGTAGCACCTGGGGATCAGCCTGCGGTGAAGCAGCTGGACAGAAAGTTCTGCTTGTAACATTTCTTAACCCAGGTATCCATACCGCTCCTGAGAAACCTACCCAGAGATGATTTACCTCTACTCTGGGAAGCAGAAATACAGCCAAATGCCCTGACTCACTAATGCATAACTAACCCATTGCTGTCGAGGCGATTCCGACTCATAGCAACCCTATAGGACAGAGTAGAACTGCCCCATAGGGTTTCCAAGGCTGAAATCTTTACCGAAGCAGACTGCCACATCTTTCTCCCAAGGAACGGCTGGTGGGTTCCAACCATTGATCTTTTGGTTAGCAGCCACGTGCTTTAACCACTTCGCCACCAGGGCTCCTTCAACAGTTATTAAAACCCATTGCCGTCGAGTCGATTCCGACACAAGTGACCCTATAGGACAGATTAGAACTGCCCCATAGGGCTTCCAAGGAGCAGCTGGTGGATTCGAGCTGCTGACCTTTCGGTTAGCAAACGCTTAATCACGGCGCCACCAGGGCACCAATGCATAACCAACACCCTTAAAATGGCAAAAAAGGAACTCGAATGTCAACAGACAGTCAATAGAAGCTCACGTGGTAATTGCAGGCACCTGAAACCCACATTCCTGTGGCTTTCGCTGGAGTCAGAGGAAGCAAATAAAGGGCGATCAGGTTCGTCCTGGCAATGAGCAGAAACTTTACAATCCATTCCTGGGCATGTTGAGACTATATTAGATAACCCAGGTCCAAACCAGGATTCTGGTCTTCCGCTAGGTTGAACTGCTACCATTCTCATCAAAATACACACAGGCAACCTCATAAGTCCACCCACCAAGAGAAACCACGGAAAAACAATGTTTATAAAAATCTTGCTATGGATTTGAATTGTAGGTTAAGATGGTTGTTGTGTGCTGTTGGGTCAATTCTGACTCATGATAACTCTATAGGACAGAGTGGAACTGCCCCATAGGGCTTCCTAGGCTGTAATCTTTACAGAAGCAGATCGCCAGGTCTTTCTCCCGTGGAGCCGCTGGGTGGGTTTGAACCGCTGACCTTTTGGTTAGCAGCCGAATGCTTAACCATTGCACCACCAGGGCTCCTTGTTAAGATTAAAGCATTACCACGGAATCTTCAATGCCCAACACCTATGAACAATGAATAATAATTAAATGAGTTTATAATAATAAATAAATAGTAATAAGTAATTAAAATAGTAACACAAATCTGTCAAAAATTACTGTTAAAATTGCTGTATCATCAGTATGGCAAGGATGCGGAGCAACAGGAAGCGTCATCCATTGCTGGTAGGAACGCAAAATGGTACAGCCACTTTGGGAGAACAGTCTGGCAGTTTCCTACAAAGCTAAACACAGGCTTACCGTAAGATCCAGCAATTCCACTTGTCATGGATTGAACTGTGTCCCCCAAAAATATCTGTCAACTTGGCTGGGTCATGATTCCCAGTGTTGTATAATTGTGTATCATTTTGTAATCTGATGTGATTTCCTTATGTGTTGTAAATTCAATCACTACGATGTAATAAGATAGATTAGCGGCAGTTATACTGATGAGGTATGCAAGATTGCATAGTGTCTTAAGCCAATCTCTTTTGAGATATAAAAGAGAGAAGTGAGCAGAGACACATGGGAATCTCATACCACCAAGAAAGCAGTGCTGGGAGCAAAGTGCGTCCTTTGGACCTGAGGTTCCTGCACAGAGAAGCTCCCAGACCAAGGGAAGACTGATGACACGGGCTTTGCTCCAGAGCCGATGGAGGAATTGGACTTGTAGCCTACTGGACTGTGAGAGAATAAACTCCTCTTGGTTAAAGCCATCCACTTGCTACAGCAGCCCTAGATGTCTAAGACACCACTCCTAGGTATTTACCCAAATGAACTGAAAAGCATATGTCCACATAAAAGTCTGCACATGGATACTTGTAACAGCTTTATTCGTAACTGCCCAAAACTGGAACTAACCAAGATACCCTTCAATCAGTGACCAGATACACATACTGTGGTTCATCCATACAAGGAAATATTATTCAGCGGCAAAAAGAAACGAGCTAACAATCTACAAAAAGACATGGAGGAAACTTCACTACATGTTTCTCAGTGAAAGAAGCCAGCCTGAAAAGCCACATACTGTATGGTCCCCACCAGGTGACATTCCGGAAAGCGGAAAACCAGAGAGACAGTGAGAAGACCATCTGCTGCCCGGGGTTCAGGGGAGGGGGGCAGCTGTGATGTGGAGATATTTAATCTGAAATTAACAGAAAATAATATTCATATTGCTTCTTCATGTCTTGAGACAGTACATTTGACATGAAAGAACTGACTTAGTATGAATATAAAGAAAGAAAGGATAACAAAGGCAGATGAAATGCTAAAATGTCAGCTCCCAAGATGGAAATGTGATATTTGAAAACAGCTGTCCCTGCCTGGTGTGGCCGGGCTGCCTACGCTCCCAGACCCCCAAGGGCCCCTCCGGTGCTCAGGTGGCCGTACTAGAAGTTAACCAGTTTGGCACAGTCAAAGCTACATCCTTTATGTAGACATCAGTGAGAATATGGTTGGGCGGTTACTCCACCTCTATTTCACAAAACTGTAAGCAACCCGGGAAGATGCTTCCCTAAAAATCATACCTTTCCCCTAATTCTTCAAAAAAGAAAACATCTGAGCTGCATACAAGAACTCCTTCCAACATTAAGAACTAACTTTTTTTCCAGTTACCATCGAGTCGATTCTGACTCATGGAGACCCCACGTGTGTCAGAGTAGAACTGTGCTCCACAGGGTTTGCAAATGGCTGATTTTTTGGAAGTAGATCGCCAGGACTTTCTTCCGAGGTGCCTCTGGGCAGACTTGAGCCTCCAACCTTTCAGTTAGCAGCCAAGTGTGTTCACTGTTTGCACCACCCAGGGACTCCAAGAGTTAATGTCGCAGGAGATCAGGAGAACTAAGACCCATTATCCAAGCTTTAATTCTTACCAAACGCAACCAGCGTGCTGCAGGGACCCCAAAAGTGAAGTAGTCAGGCAACAAACCCACAAACCTTGCCCACGAGAGGACTCACGCTGCACGAGTTGTTGGCTGTCTGAGCTGGGCTGTAGAAGGAACCCCACTGGGTGGCTCTCCTCTCTTCCCGGGAAGGGGTGCTGTTGACAGGCAGGCCGGCGGGGAGCCCGGGGCTGGCAACCGCGGCACCGGCCGGCTGGCTGCTGGGGGCCACGAGGGCGAAGGCATCGTCCAGGAGGGAATGCATGGTCTGGCGGGCCTCCTCAATGGATGGCTGGGGCGGGATGTATTGGGAGGCCGGGAAGGGCAAGCCTGGGTACCGCCCCAGCTCGGTCGAGGATACCGTCTGGACTTCCACTGGGAGGTCGGGATCAGACTACAGGGCAATGCCAGAGAAAAGAGCAGTCAGACACACGCTTCCCTGGGGACCTAAAACCCCAAAACAAACTTCACAGTCATCAAGGAAAAGAAGCAAAAAATGACAGCTGACATTTCCTGGGAACAAAAAGCTTGCATCAGGAAAAAAGGAAGAAGTAAAGATATCCAACCATCATTTGTCCGGTAAAACTCAATGATCTGCAATACAGTGCAGTACCCAGAAGCACATATTTTTTAAAAGGCCCTTAAGCAGCCACAAAAAATGTCTCAAACAATATATACTAAAAAATCTAGTCGCTTTCCTTAGATACAGAAACCAAAAAGTAAAGCAGCCTGTCAACTATTAACTGTAGGAAAAAATACACTCTCCATGGAGCTCTAAGTCACCACTGTATTATAACTATATGTGGAGGTCTGTGTGCGTGCGCATAAACAGGTACAATGCCTATTAAACAACTACTTACTATAGTAAATGTTGTTGTTGTGAGGTGCCACTGAGTCGGTTCCGACTCATAGCGACCTGGTGTACTACAGAACGGAACACTGCCCGGTCCTGCGCCATCCTCACAATCATTGTTATGCTTGAGCCCATTGTTGCAGCCACTGCGTCAATCCATCTCGTTGAGGGTCTTCCTCTTTTTCTCTGACCCTCTGCTTTACCAAGCGTGATGTCCTTCTCCAGGGGCTGATATATACTACAGTAACAATTATTTATTCAGGAACCATTTGTCTTTAAAATTGAGGAATCTTTGGACGCCACGAGTCAACAAGAAAGGCATAAATTATGTTCTCCACCCACTATTTAAAGGGCAGGAATAGAACATTTGATTAAGGTTTTATTTTTAAAGCTTGTTTCTTGATATTGCTTTATGAGCAAAGTAATTGCCATAACATACACTGGATGAGCTGTAAGGGGCCAAGAAAGGCACACAATGCAGGAAGGGCCCTCTCCAGCCTCAGTGGCTCTGTAAGCCCAAACACCACAGTTACCATCACCGGAACACTGAAAAGGAAAGAGGTTCTGCAGGAAGAGGTGGCCGTGTGCCCTGTGGGAGGAAGGGTGGGCTCCTCTTTTCTGGAATGGTTCATGGGCCCAACGGGCCTGCAGTTGAGCGTGGCAGGTTGGCTCAATCTACTCAAGGGACCCACGAAGAGAGTCCCATATCTGTCAGCATCAGTACATCTCTTACAGAGAAAAACTCTATTCCACAGACACATCGCTCATCTTGGCCAACACCTGCAAAATGCTTCCCACTGATTATGGTCTGTCCAGCGTCAGATCAGTTGTTATTCAGGCCAGCATCAAATATTACGGGCAGCAGTTGGTGAACTCCAAACAGAGGGGAAACCATACTACAAACTGGCAAGCCCACACACAGCCCACACACCTGTGGTCCTTGGCCTGGTGAAAGGAGATAGCCAACGTTTAAAAAGCTGGAACGTTCATCGAGAACTCAGATGTCTGGATTCTCCAGACAGAGCCTAGCATCACGGGCCCTCACTCCAACACAGACACACCCAGGCCTACTGAGCAGTGACTGACCTAGAGGGATGGGGCAGGGGCTCTGCTGTTCCCAACAGCCCCCACCTGGAGGCTTCACTCCTGTGTACACACACACTTGGGCCTACAAGTCTGTTTCTCCAGGTCTGTAATACCCCAGGAAAGGTTCTACCAAGTGGCATTTAACATCTGACTGTGACTCCACAACCTACCCAAGAGGACTGGCGTGAGTTCAGAGAGTTGGAAGGTCTACAGACTAGACATTTTCCTGTTTTGAATTTTTAATACGGATGTGGGGCCCCAAAGGGGGTCTACGGTTTATGACCTGACACCAGAAGGATCCTGTGCCCCGTCCTTGTGAAGTGGACACAGGCGCAGACGCGCGCCCTTCTCAGTCGCTGGGTTTCTTCAGGACCCAATAAGGAAGGCTGTGGTCCAAAGTGCGCCACCAAGCCAACAATTTACTAACCGAAGGAGGAGGCGCCGTGCTGTCTGCTGAGAGAAAAGGACAACCGGGTCACCACAAAAGAGGAAGATTTAGGGTCATGGGTGAAGGTGAAGCAAGCAGAACACAGGTGACCCCCTACACAACACTCGACTGCATTGGATGACACAACGCAGGGCAATTAGAAAAGGCCCCCGTGGCCCGGTGGGTAAGGGCTCCGGCTGCTAACCCGAAGGACGACAGTTCAAACCCACCAGCGCTCCTTGAAAACTCTCCGGGGCGGTTCTACTCTGTCCTAGACTCACTATGAGTCGGAATCAACTCAACGGCAAAGGGGTTTGGTTTTTTTGGTTTTCTTCCACAGGGTACTGTGAAAAAAGGAGCCACAGCTGGCTGGGAAATGAGGGGGAAGAAGGAGCGTTGTCCCTGCTTCTACTCATTAGCCTGCCACAACAGGGTCTGGAAGTCCCATGTGGGACAAAGAAGAAAGGAGGCCGCTGTCCCCGTGAGCCAAGGGTACAGCCTTCCCAGATGGAGCCAAACACCACAGCCACCCAAGACAAAGCACAAGAGCGCCATCTACTGTGAGGACGGCCAGCGACATTTCCATCTGAAGTAGCACACCACACTGCAAATTCTATCGAGCAGGAAGTGTCTCGTTTGCAGCCCTTCCAATTCTCCGGATTCACACTAGTCCTCTTTAGTAGGTTATGAAAGTCACCGTCGGGCTTTCGGACACTAAAATCCAGCAGGCTGGTCACTCAAGGAAAAGCCTGGTTCTTTCCGATGATCATGACTGGCTGATGTTTAGGCCCGATGTAGGTGTGCCGTTTGGCACATCTGTGTATTTAGATGTACTGCCTTTCAGTGCTAGCTCCTCATGTAATATAGAAGAAAAGCACAAACCTCAAGTAAGAAATGGCCTACCAAAGAAGCTCTATCTAAAGTCCAAAGGAGCCCTGGTGGCGCTGTGGTTAAGCGTTTGGCTGCTAACCAAAAGGTTGGCAGTTCGAATCCACCAGCCGCTCCTTGGAAACGCTATGGGGCAGTTCTACTCTGTCCTATAGGGTTGCTATGAGTTGGAATCGACTTGACGGCAATGGGTGTGCTTGTTGCTAAACAGCTTCTCCCTGGACAACAGGACAGGTTGCCCCCGTGGGGCTTTCGGGGAGCACCGTTTTCACGGTGTTCCGGAGTCAGCTGCGTCCGGCGCTTCCCTCTGCCATGGGGTGTCTGTCTGTATTTCCCAGGGCCCCTCAGTGGGGCTGGCTTCTTCCCTACTCAGAGGGGTCTCTGTGTGTGGGTCTTAACGTTATAAGTTCTGCCTTTAACATTTCAAGTAACTCTGTGTCCCTTTCAATTTGAAAAATGTTTAATTTCTTATTTCTTAATTCCCAAAAAGCCCCATCTTTTTCTCATAAAAATATATATACTAGCAAATGCAATACCTTTTTAGTGAGGTGGGGGTGGGTAGTCAGAGCTCAAACACCATACAGATATCAATACTGTCTGGAGACTATATGACATATAGATATCAATCTGTAGATAGACAATATCTATCTCTGGGGATGGGGGTGGGGACAAAACCCTTAACACCCCTCTGCTACCAAGAAACCCGGAACGACTCTCTCAAAGCGGGTAGGCGTGGGAGGGTTAGACAAGAGAACTTTCTGGATGTGTCTCTCTCTTTTCCAATTACTCTCAAGAAGCTCCCATTCTAAAGCTTGAGAACAGGGCTTGAATACAGAAGGGTAAAATGTACAGTACGCTTCCAGAGTCCCTCACTTTATGTGGCTGAGGGCCCACCCAAGGAGCAGGCCCACCCCCACCCCGCTGGCCCGAGGCGCTGGCCCAGGTGTCGCCAGCACCCCGGGGCAGCAGCCAGCACCGCTCAAGCCTCCTCTCCCACCCACACACCTTCCCTGGGGCCGCCACCTCCCACCCGCCCCAGACAGAGAAGCCCAGGGACGCACCGGGCACCCGATGTAGGCCGAGTTGTGCACACCGGGGGGCCGCTTGTAGGTGCCGTCACTGTCCGTGGTGATGAGCCTGTCCTTCTCGGCGTCCGCGGGGCAGCCGTTGACCTGGTGCTTCCGGCGCGGTTTGGGAGATCGCTTTATCCGCGAACTGCCGGGAAAGGGAGTTACCGTCACAGAAAGAAACCTTCTTGCCCGGGCTCACCCACTAAACGGGGAGGATCGATAACGCGCTGACCACATGGCCACCACCCCACGGATATTAACAAGCATGAGACGCAGTGTCTGCGCTCAGGCAGCGCAGCGCACGGTCTACCTGGGCGGACAGTGAGCACACCTGGAGCACCCAGAACAACACAAGGTCACGTGGGTTCTCTGCATTATTTGGCAGAGATGTCTAGAGGAGAGAAGGCATCAGGAGCGTCCTCACTGCTGGAAGGCCTGGGCCAGGTCCTGAGGGTGGGGAGGGTCTCAAGGCATGGGAGGGTGTGGGAAGAGGACTAAGGGGCAGGCCCCTCATGCCGAGAGCCAGGCGGGAACGCAGCTGGGACCTTCGTGGAGGGAAGCGCTGTGTCCTGGTGGATGGGAATCAGCTGGGATGAGAGGCAGACCCTCCCACCACGGGAGTGCAGTTCCCAGGGGGCAGCCATGAACACCAGCGCAGGTTTTAATCAGAGAAAGGCATAAAGGAGGGCAGTGATTAAAGAACATGGACCTGTGGTAGGGGAAGGTGAGGCCCTAGACTCCGAGGATGGCTGAGGGGACAGAGGGAAAGGGCTCAGCCAGGAACCCGCCTGGGCGGTGACACTGTTGTTAGCTGCCGGTGAGTCAGCCCCAACTGGTGGCGACTTCGTGCTGCCTGGTCCTGTGCCATCCCATATTGGTTAGGGGTTGGACTGGTGTGCTCCATAGCGTTTGCATTGGCTGATTTTCAGAAGTAGATCACCAGGCCTTTCTTCCTAGTCTGTCTTGGTCTGGAAGCTCTGCTGAAACCTGTTTAGCATCATGGCAACATGCCAGCCTCCACTGACAGACGGGGGGTGGCTGTGCACGAGGTGCACTGGCCGGGAACAGAACCCAGGTCTCCCACATAAAAGGCGAGAATTCTACCGCTCAACCAGCGCCGCCCCCAGGTAATGGTGAGAGAGGAAAGAGGGGGATGAGAGAAGGAGGGCCAGGGGGCATGGGAGGAGCTGGCTGGACAAGGAATGGATGCCCACCATTTAGACATGCCGATCTTGGGGGGAAATGAAATCCAGAGGAAATGCCCAGAGGCACTTGGAAACCAGGCTAAAAATGAGAGGCCCTTGCACACAAAGGTCAGGGTGGAGATGAAAAGATGCCCCAAGACCTACACATCCTCCCTGCTGTAAACCTCTTCAGCTGATTTCTACAGACTACTGCTTCAAAGTGGACAGGCGCCCTTTGAACACGGGAATGCAGCTGCAAGGCATCTCCACTGGCCCCCTGCACCCGGGACACTGCAGAGCCGCCCGGCCCGGCGCCCGGCCCCGCTGCCGGACCCACCTCTTCCTGGGCTCGATGAACACAGAGGGCACGCTGGCCGTGGGGTCCAGGATCTTGTCGATCTGCATCTGTGCGCGGCGGTACACGCGGTGGCGCTCCCGGGTGTCGCCCGAGGACAGGTCGTCCACCACCGGGAACTCATAGTGCCCGCGGCGCTTGGCGCGGAGCCGGATTTTGTTCCGATGGTGCTCGATCTCCGACTTGTGCCGCAGCGCAGTCTGAATCTGAGGAGGTGACAGCGAAGGAGGCATAAGCGCTCCCTGTGGGCTGCCATGCACCCTCCATGCGCCCTCTGAAGCTCGTCTGTCAAGGAGAGGCCTGCCTGAGGCTCTCCCCATGCTAAAGCTAACGAGCTTTATTCCAACCAACACTGCGCTGGTGCTGGTGTATTTGAGGGGCACGTCGTGTTATCTCCCCCCAAAGCAGGGGCAGATAAAGCCTTTAAAATTGGTTTTTACTGGGGGCTGGTCATCAAGCACTCTCAGCCTGTTGTCAGTTGCTGTCCAGTCAGCCCCAACTCAAGGCGACCCCACGTGTGCAGGACAGAACTGCTCCGTAGGGTTTTCAAGGCTGGGACCTTTCAGAAGCAGATCCCCAGGCCTGTCTTCCCAGGGGCCTCTGGGTGGGTTCAAACCACCGATCTTTAGGTTAGTAGTCAAGCACAAACCATTTGTACCACCTGGGCACCTTACCCTCTGCCTGGCACACACCCAGATCCCTCCCTCCCCAAAGGCAGGCAACACCATATTGTCTGTATAGACAGTGCAGGCCCGGGAGGCACTCTAATCAGATAGGGTGATGGGAATGCTCCTGAAATCCAAGTTCCCGGATGCCAGCCGGGGCAAGCAGGCCTGCAGCTGACACTCCCAGTCTTGAACAGCACTGGTCTAAGAAGCCAAGGGCAGTCTTTAAGGCTAACAACAGCTGTCAGCGGGTCAGACAGCTAGGGACCTCTGTGTCCGTGACATTCCCTCGTGTTTAACCCTGAGCACATCAGAACGTCAGTCTTCCAGGAACACACTTTCTCTAAAGACAAATACCTCCTTGTTAATTTTGTTGGTTTCCGCCACTCGGTCGCCCAGTGCAGGGTGCTGGGCCGGGGGAGCTGGGATGGGCTGCATGGCAATCAGCTGGATCTTATTGGGGACCCGGCGGCTGGCCTCGGCTGAGTGGGAGATCCTGTCCACGTGCTCGAAGATGGAGGCCGAGGAGTGCTGCTCGGGGCCCGAGCTGGGTGGGGGCGGCCCTAGACGGGGTCGGGGAGAAGCAAACAGCAAGTCATCCCCAAGAAACAGCAAGGGCTCAGAACAGTGGGGTATTCCTTACGGAAAATCCTGGGCGGGGGGAGCTGATCAAAAATACACCCCTACCCCAGGGGCAGGGTACTTGAAATCTCACAGAAAAATAAAAACCAAAACAGGCCAGTTGCCATCAAGTCGACTCTGACTTATCACGTCCCTATGTGTGTCCGAGTAGAACTGTGCTCCAAAGGGTTTTCGATGGCTGATTTTTTGGAAGCAGATCACCAGGACTTTCTTCGAAGGCACTGGTGGGTGGGTTTGAGCTGCGAAACTTTCAGTTAGCAGCCGAGCACTTAGCCATTTGTGCCACCCAGGGACTCCGAAACCTCGCTACTTGAGGTTAAATTTTCTGGGTGAAATACTGTCTTCTTCAGCCTCGTTGTTGAAAATACAAATACTCTT